AGATTGAACTTCTGCTTGCTAGGATTTATCGCAGCTGCGTTCACTGCTGGTGCATTTATTTTTCCTGTTTCCTCAATATCTTTTACCCCTGTATGGATATCAGTGCTCCACCAGGTTTAGCTGGTAGTGTCGACACTGTTCCCAGAGGCCTCAACCCATTTTGATCCTTATAAACAAGTAATCCTGCCCAGGCTCTTCAAACAGGAGCTACCCTTCCCTTGCGTCAAACTTGCTTACCACTACTCCCCTGGTCAACCAGGCTATTACTGTTGGCCGCACGTAAACCGACGTACGAATCACAGCCAGCATTGTCTGGTACTATGTGCTGTATAACCCCCTGCGGGCTTAGCGCTTCCCCCATCTACATTATAATAATGACAAATAGGCAGTAACAAGGAAACGATCTGCATATTCTGCGGAGTTGCAAATAATTCCCCGTGGGTTTAAGGCTTTCTTTAATAGTAATATTACAAGACAAAATCCTCCGGTACGGCTGGAAAACGTTAGGAACGTGTTTCCATAAGACACCTGCTGTCCCTGTCCCCTGTTCACCCATCAGCTTAAAATGGGTTAGTGGATTGGTGTGGGTCGCATCCTGGGACAAAACTGACCTGATCTACCAGAAATGCTCAACATAACAAGCGGCTTTATACACAGTAGTATGTCGCTGAGGTCAGCTACGACGGTATACCTTGTACATGTACTTCTAGTACATATTATTATTATTATTATTATTAACAATTTGCACCATTTTGTAATTATTTGTACTAGCAATTATTGTAAGCTATTTTTGTAAATAATATTAATATATCCTCTCTTTATGCCTTTCTTTCTCCATGGAGTTTCTTCTCCATGGAGTTTCTTCTCCATGGAGTTTCTTCTCCATGGAGTTTCTTCTCCATGGAGTTTCTTCTCCATGGAGTTTCTTCTCCATGGAGTTTCTTCTCTCTCTTTCGCGCTCTTTCTTTGGCTTTCTGCCTGCCTGTCTCTGTCTCTCTGTCTCTCTCTCTCTCTCTCTCTGTCTCTGTCTCTCTCTCTCTCTCTCTCTCTCTCTTCTCCTCTCTTGTCTCTCTCTGTCTCTCTCTCTCTTCTCTCTCTCTGTCTCTGTCTCTGTCCTCTTTTCTCTGTCTCTCTCTCTGTCTTTTCTCTCTGTCTCTCTCTCTCTCTCTCTCTCTCTCTCTCTCTCTCTCTCTCTCTCTCTCTCTCTGGTACTTAGCACGGAGCACCAAAACACCATGTTATTGCGGTGTGACATCTGGTTGCAAAACTTGTATTGAGAATTTTAGACTGTGGATCAAGTGACTGTGTCCAGGGAATGATGAGGAATGGGGGAACTGTGGGGGTTGGGGAAGCAACTGGGGGAGCGTGGGGCTTGGGGAAAACAACCTGGGGAGCTGTGGGGCTTGGGGGAAACAACCTGGGGGAGCTGTGGGGCTTGAGGAAGCAACCTGAGGGAACTGTGGGCTTGGGAAGCAACCTGGGGGAGCTGTGGGGGTTGGGAAGCAACCTGGAGGAACTGGGGGCTTGGGGAAGCAACCCGGGGGGGGGGGGGGGGGGCTGTGGGGGTTGGGGAAGCAACCTGGGGGAAAATGGGGCTTGGGGAAGCAACCTGGGGGAGCTGTGGGGCTTGATGAAGCAACCTGAGGGAACTGTGGGGCTTGGGGAAGCAACCTGGGGGAGGTGTGGGGCTTGGGGAAGCAACCTGAGGGAACTGTGAGGCTTGGGGAAGCAACCTGAGGGAGCTGTGGGGCTTGGGGAAGCAACCTGGGGGAGCTGTGGGGCTTGGGGAAGTAACCTTGGAGAGCTGTGGGGCTTGGGGAAGCAACCTGGGGAAACTGTGGGCTTGGGGAAAACAACCTGGGGAAACTGTGGGGCTTGGGAAAGCAACCTGGGGAGCGTGGGGCTTGGGAAGCAAAACCCGGGGAAACTGTGGGGCTTGGGGAAGCAAAACCCGGGGGAGCTGTGGGGCTTGGGGGAAACAACCCGGGGGAGCTGTGGGGCTTGAGGAAACAACCTGAGGGAACTGTGGGGCTTGGGGAAGCACCTGGGGGAGTGTGGGGCTTGGGGGAAACAACCTGGAGGAACTGGGGGCTTGGGGAAGCAACCTGGGGAGCTGTGGGGCTTGAGGAAGCAACCTGGGGGAAAATATGGGGCTTGGGAAGCAACCTGGGGGAGCTGTGGGGCTTGATGAAGCAACCTGAGGGAAAATGTGGGGCTTGGGGAAGCAACCTGGGGGGAGGTTTTGGGGGGTTGGGGAAGCAACCTGAGGGAACTGTGGGGCTTGGGGAAGCAACCTGGGGGAGCTGTGGGGCTTGGGGAAGCAACCTGGGGGAGCTGTGGGGCTTTTGGGGAAGTAACCCTTTGGGGAGCTGTGGGGCTTGGGAAGCAACCTGAGGAAACTGTGGGGCATGGGAAGCAACCTGGGGAAACTGTGGGGCTTGGGGAAAGGGAACCTGGGGAGTGTGGGGCTTGGGGGAAGCAACCTGGGGAAACTGTGGGGCTTGGGGAAGCAACCTGGGGAGCTGTGGGGCTTGGGGAAGCAACCTGGGGAAACTGTGGGGCTTGGGGAAGCAACCTGGGGAAACTGTGGGGCTTGGGGAAGCAACCTGGGGAAACTGTGGGGCTTGGGGAAGCAACCTGGGGGAGCTGTGGGGCTTGGGGAAGCAACCTGGGGAAACTGTGGGGCTTGGGGAAGCAACCTGGGGAAACTGTGGGGGGTTGGGGGAAACAACCTGGGAAAACTGTGGGCTTGGGGAAGCAAACCCGGGGAAACTGTGGGGCTTGGGGAAGCAACCTGGGGAACTGTGGGGCTTGGGGAAGCAACCTGGGGGAACTGTGGGGCTTGGGAAGCAACCTGGAGAAAATGTGGGATCTGGGGAAGCAACCTGGGGAACAGTGGGGCCTGAGGAAGCAACCCGTTGAACTGTGGGGCCTGGGGGAAGCAACCCGGGGAACTGTGGGGCCTGGGGAAGCAACCCGGGGAACTGTGGGGCCTAGGAAAGCAACCCGGGGAACTGTGGGGCCTGGGAAAGCAACCTGGGGAACAGTGGGGCCTGAGGAAGCAACCCGGGGAACTGTGGGGCCTGGGGAATCAACCTAGGGGAACTGTGGGGTCTGGGGAATCAATCTAGGGAACTGTGGGGCCTGGGGAATCAACCTAGGGGGAACTGTGGGGCCTGGGGAATCTACCTAGGGGAACTGTGGGTCCTGGCCAATCAACCTAGGGGAACTGTGGGTCCTGGGGAATCAACCTAGAGGAACTGTGGGGCCTGGGGAAGCAACCTGGGGGAACTGTGGGTCCTGGGAAAGCAACCTAGGGAAACTGTGGGGCCTGGGGAAGCAACCTAGGGGAACAGTGGGGCCTGGGGAAGCAACCTGGGGAACTGTGGGGCCTGGGGAAGCAACCCAGGGAACTGTGGGGCCTTAGGAAGCAACCCGGGGAACAGTGGGGCCTGAGGAAGCAACCTAGGGGAACAGTGGGTCCTGGGGAATCAACCTAGGGGAACAGTGGGGCCTGGGGAAGCAACCTAGGGGAACAGTGGGGCCTGGGGAAGCAACCTGGGGAACAGTGGGGCCTGGGGAAGCAACCTGTTGAACAGTGGGGCCTGGGGAATCAATCTAGAGGATTGTTGGGCCTCGGGAAGCAACCCAGGGGAACTGTGGGGCCTGGGAAAGCAACCTGGGGGAGCCTTGGGGCCTGGGGAAGCAACTTGGGGAACCTTGGGCTTGGGGAAGCAACCTGGGGAAACCTTGGGGCCTGAAGAAGCAACCTGGGGGAACCTTGGGTCACTGGGGAAGCAACCCGAGGAACTGTGAGCCCTGGGGAACCAACCTAAGGGATTGTGGGACCTGGGGAACCAACCTAGGGGACTGTGGGGCCCTGGGAAGCAACCTAGAGTACTGCTGGGTCTGGGGAAGCAACCTAGGAGACTGTGGGGCCTGGGGAAGCAACCCGGGGGACTGTGGGGCCTATGGAAGCAACCTAGGAGACTGTGGGGCCTGGGGAAGCAACCTAGGGGAGTGTGGGGCCTGGGGAACCAACCTAGGGGACTGTGGGGCCTGGGGAAGCAACCTAGGAGACTGTGGGGCCTGGGGAAGCAACCCGGGGGACTGTGGGGCCTATGGAAGCAACCTAGGAGACTGTGGGGCCTGGGGAAGCAACCTAGGGGAGTGTGGGGCCTGGGGAACCAACCTAGGGGACTGTGGGGCCTGGGGAAGCAACCCTGGGGACTGTGTGGCCTGGGGAACCAACCTAGGGGACTGTGGGGCCTGGGCAACCATCCTAGGGGACTGTGGGGCCTGGGGAACCAACCTAGGGGACTGTGGGGCCTTTGGAACCAACCTAGGGAACTGTGGGGCCTGGGAAAGCACCCTTCTTTGAAAGTAAATAATTAAATGCTAATTAGGTACAACGCATATTAGCATGTTTCTTTACACCTGGTCATGTTAACTTGCAGTAAGTAGGTACAATATCAGTATGTTTATTTCCTTACGCCTGTTGCTTCTCCTCACCTAGCAATAAATAAGTACCTTTATATTAGTTGACTGTTATCTTCTTTTTTCTTTTTTCGCTGTCTCTCCTCTCCACCCTTCTCTCTTTTACCTCCTTCCATTATTCATTTCTTTCTCTTCTTCCTACGCCCCTACGTTCGTCCCTCTTATTTCCACCTCTTCCCTTCCAACCCTCGTCTTCCTATCACCTTCTTTTCGCCCTCTTGCTACCTCTCCCCACCTTCCCTCTTCCTGCTGCGTCCCCAGTTGAGGTCACAGGTGAAGGTGACCAGGCTCGTCTTCACCCCCTCTGGGGCAAGAGCCCACCTGTTCCGCTCACCTAGAAAATCTAATAATTTATGTACATGACACACCCCCCATGCCAAAATACACGCTTATCAATACATAAAATCGTAAAATTTATACAAGTTTGAATCTAAAGGGGTAAAATATATTTTTCCCGAAAGAAAAATCACGGAATTAGATGTAAATGGGAAAATATATAAGAATAAAAATGAGAGGGGATGTGGAGTTGCTTGAAGACGGCAGAGGCAGTTGTCTTCAAGATTTCATGTAAGACACAGCTACCTGCTGCTCCTGCTGCTGCTGCTTATATTTGCTGCTTCTGTTGTCGCTTCTGCTCTTGGTGCTCCTGTGGGTCCTGTCGAGACCTGCTGTTGCTGCTATTACGAGTTTCTGGCGTTCCTCGCGCAACTGCTGGCACTACTTCCATTCTTTTCAGAGACTCGGCTGCTGAGATGTTACGAATTATCTGTGAGTACTACACTTTAATTCTGTGTATACATTTCTCTTATTGTAGACTTGTATATGTGTGTGTATATTTATATGACTGACGCATGTAAGTATGGAGACAGTGTACGCACACAGCCTGTAAGAGCAGACTTATTGGGGGGCCAAATTTTTTTTTAACTTCGGACCATAACTGATTATTAAAAATGTATATTTAATAAATTGAATTTTTAAAAAGACAATGAAATTCAAGTTCAATCGAAAAGTAAAATAATAAAAAGGGTTTTTTATATTTCGACATCTGCTGAAGAGGGCCCCTGAGGCTGACACGTCCATTCAGTTATTTCACATTATAACATGCCTGTTAAGTTCTGGAATTTGTTTCCTTTTCAAATTCCACTCATGAGTAAACCCCCATGATGTCCCCCCTTTTGTTTTTTCCCCAATGATATTCCCTGTTTCTCTCTTTTCCTGGCTAAAATGTAAAAAAAAAAAAAATCAGGAGGAAAAACTGGAAATGGGTTACGTTGAATAATCAAAAATCACAAAAAAAATTTTAAAAAAAAAAGGACTTAGTTGGCGAGGCACCCCCTACAGTCACTGACTGCTGTCACATCTACTTTGAGATGTCAGGTGGAGTTTCTTTATTGTTACATTTTATTGTAAAACTAATTTGGGGGGTGTGTGTGTTGTGTGTGTGTGTGTGGGTGTGTGTGTTGGTGTGTGTGTGTGTGTTTGTGTGTGTGTTGTGTTTTTGTATCACCAAATTGTGGTTGCAGGGGTCGGACTCACTCCGGGCCCCGCCTCTTCTGATCGTACGGGGTTTCCTCTCCCCTGTTTCCCTGAGCTTTGTCAACCTCTTTTTTAAACTATGTAGGGTTTCCTGCCCCCCACTCTTCACTTGTAGGCTTTTCCACTTGTGACAACTTAGACTGAAGAAATATTCCTAACGCCCTTGATCTCTGATTTTCAGCTTCCTTGTGACCCCTTGTCCTTTTCCCCCTCTCTGGAACATCCTATCCTGTCCCCCTTGTCTTTCCCCGCAGTATCTTGATGTCGTTATCAGTTCCCCTACCCTTCTGTCCTCCAGGTCGTCATTGTTTTCCCCTTTAAACCTTTCACGTACGACTTTCCCCTTTGAGCTCTGGGACACCCTTGTTGCAAACCTTTTACTTTCTCCAACTTTTTGGACGTGCTTGACCAGGGGTGGGTTCCAGATGGTGCTGCATATCCAGTAGGGGCCAACATACACGTGTAAGGGTCTTGAACGATTCCTTATTAAGGTATCGGAAACGCATTTCAGGTTTGCCAGGGCCCCCCGATGCTGCAGCAGTTTTTTTGGTTGATGTGTGCCTCGTGTGTGCCGGGTTATGGCCCCAAGGTCTTTCTCCCTGAGTGGGGTTGTATTTTTGTCCCCCTAGCCTATACTCTGTTGCGGTCTTTTTCCCCCTCCCCCAATTTCTTCATGATTTTTGCTTTTGGGCTGGATTGATTCGAGAAGCCATTACGGGCCCAAATGTCCAGCGTCCAGGTCTTTTTGCAGTCCTCCCTCATCTCGTCCGATTTAATTTTTCCATCAATTCACGTACTGCGAACAGGGCCCTTTTCGAGTCTTTTCCTTTCCCATCATGTCGTTCACATTATCAAAAATAGCCTGGTCCAGAACTGACCCCTGGGGGACCCCGCTCGTAACGGGGCCCCCCTGTGATACCTTTCACTCCCATGATCGTTGTCCTCCTTCAGGTATTCCCTTATCCATTGCGTGCCCCCCCTTTTACAGCCCCGATCCTCCACTTCGCATAATTCTTGTGGGGAACGTGTCAAAGGGCCTTTCTGCATCTGGGAAAAAAGCAATTACCCACCCCTCCTCTCGTGTTTTACTTCTGTTACCTTGTCAAAAAACTCCAGGAGGTTTGTGACAATTTTTTCCCTTTCCATAACCCATGTGGTTTCATTTAAAATCTTTTTCCCCTTTCCAGGGTTCGCCCACTCTCCCCCGAAAAACTTTCCATGATTGCACACAATACATGTCAGGAAAAGGTCTGTAGTTTATCCCTCTTTTTGTTCCTTTTTTTTAATTAGGGGATACTTTAGCGTTTTCCCATTTTAGGTAGTTGCCCAGTTTAAAGGGGATGTTTTGAAATTTGGTTAGAGGCCGCACACATTTTGCTCCTTAAGGACCCATGGGGAGATGTTGTCCGGTCCCATCCCCTTTGAGGTAAGGTCACTCAAGAGCTTCTTCACCCCCTCCTCGTTGTTCGTATGTCATCCAAACTTTTTTGGTATATTCCCTTTTGATGTTCCCTTTGTGTTTTTTCCCACAGCCCTTTCCCCTTTTCACTTTTAAAAAAACTTCCTTAAATCCCGTTCAGCTCCTCACATACCCCTTTCATTTCTTGTAGTTCTCACCTTCTGCCCTTTTCTGATCCCTGGTTTTTGACTTTGTTTTCCCTCTGATTGGTATACAACAGTTTCGGGTCATTTCTTGATTCTCGATGTAGTCATTTTCATACGTCGTGGGCCCCCCTCCTTACCTGGCATACTCATTCCTGGGTCTGCGACTTTTCCCCATTTTGGGGGTGTTCTTGCCTTCTGACTTTTTCCATTTTTCTTTACATTTGTTTTTGCCTCCTTACACCGGGGTAAACCCGGGGCTCGTTCTGGTCTTTTCCCCTTTTATGTTGCCTTGGGAATAAACTTTTTCCCCTGCCTCCTTGCTTTTTTTTTTACAATTCCATCATTTATTTCTGGCTTTCCGCCATTCTCTGCCACTGGGCCTCCCGCGGAAGTTCTTCAACCCCGTAGCCCTCTTTTATAGTCAGGCTTTTCCCATTCAACTCCGTTTTTCTCTCCCCTTGAGCTTTTATTTTCAAAGCACAGCCCCGTGGTCGCTAGTCCCAGGGGACTCTCATATTGATTCCCAATGTCTGAGCTGCCCAGGGTGAACACAAGGGCCAAATTTTTGCTGGTTATCCCCCCCTCTCACTCTGGTAGTGCCTTAAAAGTTGGTGCATGAGGTTTTCCAGCACCCCGTCCAACTCCTGGCTCTCCAGTTTCGGGACCCCGTGGTCAGGTTTTTTCCCGTCGATCTCCCTGTGGTTGAAATCCCCCCTAACCCGCAAATTTGCTCTGCGGAAATTTAGCTCTTCTTGCCACCTCCCAATTGGTTTCCACCATTTCTTTTGCTTCTTATATTCCCTTTGGCCCCCTGCAGTTCTGTGGTGGATTATACATCATGCAATGACCCCTTTTTGTTCCCCCAAAGAAGTGTACCTGTATGTAGTCCCCCTTTTTCCCCACTCATCATGCCTTCCATTTCTCGAATTTTCCCTCTGTTTTTTTACAGCAGAGCAAACCCACCTCCCCCCCTGCCCCTTCTACTTTCCTATGAATTTGGGTTTCCGGGGGAAATTGAAACTGTTTTTGCTCCCTCAGTTTTTTTTGTGTAACTGCTATGATGTCGGGGCCCTTTTCATTGATTCTTTCTTGCCATTCCTCATGTTTTCGTTAATCATCTCATTTGTGTACCAACCTTACTTCTGTTCTAATACTGAACTGTGGGCGGGGGTGGAAAAAAGGGATGGTGTGTGATGGTTGGGTTTTGGTTGTTCAGTTCCTTGGGGGGGTCGGGTGGAGTCCTTCTGCAGGGGTTTCTGGGGGGTGTGTTGTCCTTCCATTTGTCCGGGGTTTTTTCCTTTTTTTTTCATTTCCCCCCTTTCCCTTTCGTTTTTGAACTCTTTTTTCATCGTTTCCTTTCGTCCTGTGTTCGTCTCGTCGAGGTCACACTCCCGGAAAATCCCGCTTGCCCCCCCAGCCTGCTTTTCCTGCAGGCATGGTTCGGGTTGATTCTCCGAAAATTTCTTTAGAGGCCCATTCCTTTCTTTTTGGGAACCCCCCAATTCCCGAAAATTTTGACCTGGGCATGCCCTCGCCTATCCCTTCATGAATCTTCAATCGTTTTTTTTCCTGCTTTCTTTCATCATAAGTTTCCCCTTTAGCTTCGTTAGCCCAAGACAAACACGGATCTCCCCCCCTTTTCCCCCTCCCCCTGTGACCCCCATTGCATTCTCTGATGTGTTTTAGTTTCTTCCCGTGGAGTGTTCCTTCCTTCAGTCCCTTTTCCCCAGTTAGGGCCCCCAGCTTCTTGGGTTTTTCTTCCCGCCACCGTTCCTGGCCCCCCAGGTACTGGTAAGGTCCTTGACAGTCCTATTCCTTCAAAGTCTTCCCAACCCCTCTTCTGTCCTGTGTGCTCCCTGCCTTTGTTTTGGCCCCTGGGGTTGACGGACCCCTCATACAGTTTATTTCCCGCTTCCTTTAACCTGTTGTCTTTTTTTGATGTGCCATTGCCCCTGTACTTCTGTAAATCTTTGTTCTGTGCTGTTTCAGATGTGTGTGTGTGTGTGTGTGTGGGGTGTGTGTGGTGGGGGGCCCCCACACACAAAATTATGGAATTTTACACACGTAAAAAAATCAATGTATAGTTTGGATGAGATTTTTGTTGTGAAAAAGTAGCTGCGACGCTCCTACAACCCCCCCCTTTTACTTAATAAAATTAAATTACTATTATGCAGTAATCAAAATGTAGTTTTTAAAAAAAATAAAAAATTGTTAAAAACAAAAAAGGCCACTAGAAAGTGTCATTTTTAGACAAAAAAAAGCAGTAATGTTTGAAGTAGTAGTTAGTAGTTAAAGGAGGGGAGGAGGGGGAGGATGTTAATATGAACAAAATCGGTGTATTCAAAGTGGGAAAGTACGCTAGTGTGGAGAAAGTGAACCAACACCTGTATACAGTTATTAAGCCAAGGTCAGCAGCATCATCCTGGTCCTGTTCTTCAAGTGACCTACAAGGTCCTTTACTCATCCCTCACACGGTATCCTGCAGGGCATTCCAATAACTTTCAAAACATTCTTCAAGATTTCGTAATACCTGGAGGGTGCTTCGGGGGTCAACGCCCCCGCGGGTCGGTCCATGGCCATGCTTCGCGGTAGATCAACCAGGTTGTTACTGCTGGCCGCAAGGAAATAAACGTACGAACGACAGCCCGGCTGGTCAGGTACTGACTATATGTGCCTGTCCAGCTCCCTTTTGAAGACAGCCAGGGGCATGTTGTTGATCCCCATTATGTATACTGGGAGGCAGATGAACAGTCTTGGGTTCCTGACACTTATTGTGTTGTCTCTTAGTGTACTCATGGCGCCCCTGCTTTCCATTGGGGGGGGGGGATGTTGCACTTCCTGCCGGGTCTTTTTCTTTCGAAGTGAGTGATTTTCTGCTTCTCGAGGACATCTGTAAAAAAGGCATTCGACACCACCCCACCAAAGGGTTATCTATTAAATGGAAGAATAAGCAGGTTCCAAGTGGATACGATAACGTCCAAGAAAGAGAAGTAATATAGTGATAAGGAGGTACAGCGAGCTATAACGGTGGACTTGGTTACATCATGTTCTGTGTTTGAACACCTGATACACATAACTGACCTTCAAGAAGGATCTGAATGCTAAGTTTCACGATTTGTTGATGTGAAACCAATAAAAAGAATAACAGACTTTCCAGAAGGGTTTGGAGGCTGCAGACGTAGTAAAACATGTGACTACTGAATTTCAATCCCTATAAGTACAAGTAAGGGAAGTATGGAAGGGAGAATAAAAATCCAGACAAAAATAGTTTAAACAATCACAGTATATAAGTCTAGGAGGAAACATCACACCGAGCATTTAACCAGTCACATTTAAGGTTAACATCGGTGACAAATGCAAAACTAGCTTACTTTAGACTAAAAAGGATCTTTTAGGGCTGTATACAACATGGGGTAAACGCTTCATCAAGCATGTAAAGAAGCTTGTGTAGGTTCAGAAGTTTACAACAAAGCAACTAACGTAATTGGATTATCTAACGAATGAGAAAGAAAAATACCTTTGACAGCCCATGCAGCGAGGACGAATTATCTAGGCTACGAGAAGAGACTAAATGAACGTAAATAAACAACTTTAAAGAGAGAATCTTGGGGAGTCTTGTTATTAATTACCAAATACTAATAAATAGTGGATAACAACAGGCTGTGAGATGCAAAGAGGTAAGGAACAACACCGTAGATGTGTTTATAACTTCTTTCAGTCTCATGGTAGTCAATAATTGGAACCACCTCGAGTCCTAGACGAAGAGGTACTAATCACAAGTATCATACACAGTTTTAAGAGAAGGCACGATCCAGCCCAGGATACCAAGAACTAGTAAAACCTTTCGTTAGCAGTATCGATGTGTGTGTGTATTCAGTCCTGGTCACATACCGGGCCGCGGGGGCGCTGATCCGCGAAATCTCCAGGTATACTACCTCTCCAGGTATACCTATTTGTGATTGCCGGGGTCGATTCACAGCTCATGGCCACGCCTCTTCGCTGATCGCTACTTGGTCCATTCTCTCCCTGCTCCAAGAGTTTCATCGTACCTCTTAAAGTTATGTATGGATTATGCCTCCACTACATCACTACCCGGTGTTCCACTTACAACTCTATGACAGAAGAAATACTTCCTAACATCTCTGTGACTCATCCGAGTTTTCAACTTCCAGTTGTGACCCCTTGTTGCTGTGTCCCATCTCTGAAACAATCTGTCCTTGTCCACCTTGCAAATACCTCTCAGTATTTTATAAGTCATTATCATGTCCCCCCGTCCCTCCTGTTCTCGTGTCGTCAGGTTGATTTCCTTTAACCTCTCCTCGTACTATCCCTTAGCTCCGGTACTAGTCTTTGCAAACTTTTGTACTCACATTTGTGGTTGCAGGGGTCGATTTATAGCTTCTGGCCCTGCTTCTTCACTGCTCGCTACCAGATACACTTTCTCCCTTCTCTATGAGCTTTATCGTACCTCTTAAAGTTATGTATGGATCCTGCCTTCACTACCTCAAACTCCTGATTGTCCCACTTCCTAACAACTCTATGACTGAAGAATTCCTAACATCCTTATGACTCTCGTGTAAAGTGCGTGGGGGGGGGGGGGAGGGGGAGAGGGGGGGCTAATATGCCTAAAAATCTACAATAGAAATAAAACCGAAAAAGATGGTTACAAAAGTTGGTCTTATTTTACAACTGTAATAAAGAGCAAGACATGGATGGACCTGCAGCAGCGACCTTAGAAGCAAGACGCCAGGGATAACAGTAGTGGGCGGCGGTCGGTGGCACTAGTGAGGATTGATATCAACAGTAGGAAGCCCCAACAAGCACACCATCACAGCCAACAACAGTATTCTCATCAGCAATGTTGGTCGACTCGAACGAAATATTGAATTTATTTATTTTTTTCAGTCTGGATGTCACTCGTGTCAAGTCAGAAGAGTTTTTCCCCGAGAGGAAATTTTACAGTGCCATCAACTAACCTTTCTTGATATTTTTTTTCTTCCCTACAGAATTTTAAAAATTTATTTTTAATGATGACGTATGAAGAGAGAGAAACCATATGGACAGAAAACTGATATGCAAGTAAAAAAAAAAACAGATCTGTATATTTCGGCCTCGGTCAGAGATCTTCAGTGGACAAAATTACCATGATTTCAAGAAATTCTCTGCATAACAAGGGGTTCTCTATAGAGTACGTCACTGGCGTCAGCTATGGTCTGTATAAGTTGTATCATGTACTCGTAGAATTATTATTACTATTATTATAGATCTGCTGAAGATGGTCTCTGAGAACGAAATACGTAAATATGATCTCCAAGTGGTTTCTCGCTTAGTGTTAATGCCATTGAAAATAAAAATGCAGTGTAGCCATAACTTAGGCAAATAGCTCAAGAATGTCCCAGCGAACGAATCAAAATTTTAAATTTGAAGTTAGCTTGAAGAGCGAATTCAATTTTTTTTTTTTTTGAGGAAATAATGTTGAGTTGTTGTTGTTGTGGCAGGTTGTGCGAGTGTTGCTGTGATGGTTGTGATGGCACAGCAACCCTTAAGCTTCCCAGGTATGTACTAGTAAAAACTATAATTACAATAATAATAGCAATTACAGCACCACTTGTATTACTACTAATAATAATAAATTACAATAATAATGACAATAACAGCACCACTAGTACTACTAATAAATAATAATTATAATACTACTGGTAAGCCAATGGAAGGCTAGTGGAAGGCCAGTGGAAGGTCAGTGGGAGGTTAGTGGAAGGCCAGTGGAAGGTCAGTGGAAGGCCAGTGGAAGGCCAGTGGAAGGTCAGTGGAAGGTCAGTGGAAGGCCAGTGGAAGGTCAGTGGAAGGCCAGTGGAAGGTTAGTGGAAGGTCAGTAGAAAGTCAGATCACCAAAATCTCCAGCTGTGGGTCATCACATAACTAAGACCCGCGTCAGGTAATACTTGAACATTTTCCTGACAAACCCTACCTAACTAACCTCTAGAATTAATGGACACTGATTCAAAGCCAAACACCATTTTCAAGCAATGTTTCCTAATAGCCTGAGCTTTACGGAACCTTTATTGTATGTTTGTAATATGAGAAATACTTGCTGAAAGCTTCGTGCAACTTAGTTATCAAAAAAAATAAAAAATAAAACACCAAAATTTGATACATGGAAAATATCTATGGTCATAATCTATCCTATTTACATAAACTTTAAAACATCGCACCTGACAATATTATCTAGCTCGATATTATTATAATTATGGGGAAGCGCTATACCCGTAGGATATACAGCGCCTGTGGGGGGATAGAAGGTATTCAGGCTTAATTCAGGGAACTGGAGCACAGATCCAATTCCCAAGATCAAGAGCCCCTCACCAGCGACAAGGAACCTCCCTGGAGGGGATCTAGGTCGACAACTAGAGCACTTATCTCACACACTGAGGTCCGTGGTTGGATCTCCGGCACGGATGAAACATTAGGACGTGTTTCCTTAAGACACCTGCTGTCCATGTTCACCTAGCAGTAAAATAGGTACCTGGGTGTTAGTGGACTGGTGTGGGTCGCATCCTGGGGCAAAACTAACTTAATTTACCAAAATACTCTGCATAACAAGCGGCTTTCTATATAATAGTATGTCACTGATGTCAGTTAAGACTGTATACCTTGACCATGTAGAAATAAAGATTAATTATAATTATTATTATTATTATTATTATATTTAATAAATATTACGGTGAAAGACGTCTGCTTCCTGACAGCTTCCCGTCGCTAATTATAGTCTCAATTATGCAATATTAAGCCAGTTTTACAGTCGAGATAATATTTTGTTGTACAGATTGTAAAAACGTGACCTAACCTGAGGTAACCCACCTTAACCCGACTCCGCCATCAGTAGATATGAGTCTTTGTTTACACTCAGCCAAGGGCGCCTCTAATACGAAAATATAAACCCTAAAAATGTCAATAAGTTTTAATTCGTATAAACCTTTTTAAGAGATACACACAAACTGGTTTAGAAAGACACTTAAGTAGACACTAAGACATAACTGTTAGACAATATCCCAGGGGCGAAACGTTTTCTAGTATATACGTCCTAGTATTGGCTCACCTGTCTTTTTAAACCAACATATATAATTACTGTGGAAAATTGCATTTATCTGAATGTATCATTATTTACATAACAATAAATGAACATAGATAATTATTATTTATCAGTTAGACAAGTAGGAATTTGGGACACCTAGATCGCAAAAAATGTCCCCCTTCGATACCTACCACTGTCATATCCACAAGTTGCTCTGGACCTATTAATTAAATGAAATATACATCACCAGGAATGCTGGTAAATATATAAATTTGTGGACTGTATATTAAAAATAATAAATGATTATAGATACACATACATAACAGGAGAATATCTTAAAAATCACTCACCAATTTGACTGGAGATTAATGTGTATCATACTCAGAAAACCTCACTGTCTATACATGAAAATAACACTGGCCAGAGTTATAACATAAGACTTATCTGATGTTCCTGGAGCTGTCTTGTCCAGTCGCCTGATATCTCAAGTTATGCAGGAATGCACATCCACCAATTTCGCCTCCTATTTGAGAGGTGTCAACACAATTTTACCTCTAGAGCACGAAAAATTCTTCCTATTACACTAACGTTCTATTCAATTCAAAACCAAAATGGCGAGTGACTCCCCCAGCCGCAGGTTTCCCATTTTCGATATCATACTTCTTTTAAAAATACAATATAGGGCATCTATTTACCTATAAATTACCGTATTTCCGGAAAATATATAAAGTATTTTCCACAATTACCTTCATTATATTTCTTTTTGCACGTGTGGAGCCATGTTATACCTCTAATATATTACAAAAAACATTGTATACCTTTAGAAATAAGACCCGAAATTGCTACAAAAATATCGATTATTACCGTCATTGCCACAAAAATATCGGCTATTACCGTCATTATGCTTCTTCTTCCACAGGCACGTGTGGAGCCAGGTCATGCCTCTAATATATTACAAAAGTAGATTACATACCTTCACAAATAAGGGCCGAAATTGCCAATAAAATGTCGGATAACAGATCACATTAACAAGACCACCGACCATCACCATGGTCAGCGTAACACTGACCAACGTAGCCACAACTCTGGTTGTTATTAATGAATAATGAACAAAATAGTGACTATCTGTATACAAAAAAATCGTTAAAATTATTATCAATGAATAATAAAAGATAGTGACTATCTGTATAAAAATAATTAAACTCATTATCAATGAATAATGAAAAAATAGTGACTATCTATATAAAAAAATAATTAAAATCATTATCAATGAATAATAAGAGATAGTGACTGTCTAAAAATAATAATCAAAATCATTATCAGTGATAGTGACTGTCTATATGCAAAAATAAATCATTAATTTTTTTAACATATTTGCCGTGTCCCACCAAGGCAGGATGACCCGGAAAAGAAAAAAACCAGTTTCACCATTATTCAGTCCATCAGTGTGGTGCCAGAGACGTACTTACACTGCAGGTATAAAACTGCAACTGATCAACACCTCACCAACATTTTTATAACGTTGACACCCTCACGGCTGACATGGCTTCCTAATTGCAAACTTGCGATTATCTTTAAAATTCCTTTAGAGATGTCCAGTTGGAAATTAATTACTGGTAATGGGACAAACTTCTGTCAGGAAACAAGACAAGTGTTTCCTGACCCGCAGTTGGAGCTTTTGGTCATCTGACCGAGGCCTTCCGCTGGCTTACCCCTTCACCCCTTTTGGCTTCAAATTTAGGTTAGATAAATGAATATGATATCGATATACAATACGGACAAGTTGATAAGTAAGACATATGCAACATTTGGGTATCTTTATTCCGAAACGTTTCGCCTACACAGTAGACTTCTTCAGTCGAGTACAGAGGCAGCAGATGCAGTAGAGATGTAAAGATGTAATCAGTCCCTCACCCTTAAAGACGTAGTTTTGAGGTTGTCAGTCCCTCATAACTTTTGTATTATTGATCCTTCTTTCCATTACCGTTGTAACATAATAATGTTTGTACAGATGACGTGCTGGCTGACCCTGATGACCTGCCCTTCCCTACGTACAGCCAAGTACCTGACACTGCCTTTTCCTGTGAGGGACGCTCGGGTCTTTTTCCTGACCCCGAGGCTGGCTGCCAGGTGAGGTTAACCGGCTGCTAGGTGATGTAGCCTGGCTGCTGAGGTAAACTGATTGCTAGGTGATGTAGCCTGGCTGCTGAGGTAAACTGATTGCTAGGTGAAGTAGCCTGGCTACTGAAGTAAACTGGCTGCTAGGTGAAGTAGCCTGGCTACTGAGGTAAACTGGCTGCTAGGTGAAGTAGCCTGGCTACTGAGGTAAACTGGCTGCTAGGTGAAGTAGCCTGGCTACTGAGGTAAACTGGCTGCTAGGTGAAGTAGCCTGGCTACTGAGGTAAACTGGCTGCTAGGTGAAGAAGCCTGGCTATTGAGGTAAACTGGCTGCTAGGTGATGTAGCCTGGCTACTGAGGTAAACTGGCTGCTAGGTGATGTAGTCTGGCTGCTAGGTGATGTAGCCTGACTGCTAGGTGAGGTAAACTGACTACTAGGTGAGGTAAACTGATTACTAGGTGAGGTAAACTGACTACTAGGTGAGGTAAACTAATTACTAGGTGAGGTAAACTGACTACTAGGTGAGGTAAACTGATTACTAGGTGAGGTAAACTGACTACTAGGTGAGGTAAACTGACTACTAGGTGAGGTAAACTGACTACTAGGTGAGGTAAACTGACTACTAGGTGAGGTAAACTGACTACTAGGTGAGGTAAACTGACTACTAGGTGAGGTAAACTGACTACTAGGTGAGGTAAACTGACTACTAGGTGAGGTAAACTGACTACTAGGTGAGGTAAACTGACTACTAGGTGAAGTAAACTGACTACTAGGTGAGGTAAACTGACTACTAGATGAGGTAAACTGACTACTAGGTGAGGTAAACTGACTACTAGGTGAGGTAAACTGACTACTAGGTGAGGTAAACTGACTACTAGGTGAGGTAAACTGATTACTAGGTGAGGTAAACTGACTATTAGGTGAGGTAAACTGACTACTTAGGTAAGGTATAAACTGACTACTAGGTGAGGTAAACTGACTACTAGGTGAGGTAAACTGTTACTAGGTGAGGTAAACTGACTACTAGGTGAGGTAAACTGACTACTAGGTGAGGTAAACTGACTACTAGGTGAGGTAAACTGACTACTAGGTGAGGTAAACTGACTACTAGGTGAGGTAAACTGACTACTAGGTGAGGTAAACTGACTACTAGGTGAGGTAAACTGACTACTAGGTGAGGTAAACTGACTTACTAGGTGAGGTAAACTGACTACTTGGTGAGGTAAACTGACTACTAGGTGAGGTAAACTGACTACTAGGTGAGGTAAACTGACTACTAGGTGAGGTAAACTGACTACTAGGTGAGGTAACTGATACTAGTGAGGTAAACTGACTACTAGGTGAGGTAAACTGACTACTAGGTGAGGTAAACTGACTACTAGGTGAGGTAAACTGACTACTAGGTGAGGTAAACTGACTACTAGGTGAGGTAAACTGATTACTAGGTGAGGTAAACTGACTACTAGGTGAGGTAAACTGACTACTAGGTGAGGTAAACTGACTACTTGGTGAGGTAAACTGACTACTAGGTGAGGTAAACTGACTACTAGGTGAGGTAAACTGACTACTAGGTGAGGTAAACTGACTACTAGGTGAGGTAAACTGACTACTAGGTGAGGTAAACTGACTATTAGGTGAGGTAAGCTGACTACTAGGTGAGGTAAACTGACTACTAGGTGAGGTAAACTGACTACTAGGTGAGGTAAACTGATTACTAGGTGAGGTAAACTGACTACTAGGTGAGATAAACTGACTACTAGGTGAGGTAAACTTATTACTAGGTGAGGTAAACTGACTACTAGGTGAGGTAAACTGACTACTAGGTGAGGTAAACTGACTACTAGGTGAGGTAAACTGACTACTAGTGAGGTAAACTGACTACTAGGTGAGGTAAACTGACTACTAGGTGAGTAAACTGACTACTAAGTGAGGTAAACTGACTACTAGGTGAGGTAAACTGATTACTAGGTGAGGTAAACTGACTACTAGGTGAGATAAACTGACTACTAGGTGAGGTAAACTTATTACTAGGTGAGGTAAACTGACTACTAGGTGAGGTAAACTGACTACTAGGTGAGGTAAACTGACTACTAGGTGAGGTAAACTGACTACTAGGTGAGGTAAACTGACTACTAGGTGAGGTAAACTGACTACTAGGTGAGGTAAACTGACTACTAAGTGAGGTAAACTGACTACTAGGTGAGGTAAACTGATTACTAGGTGAGGTAAACTGACTACTAGGTGAGATAAACTGACTACTAGGTGAGGTAAACTTATTACTAGGTGAGGTAAACTGACTACTAGGTGAGGTAAACTGACTACTAGGTGAGGTAAACTGACTACTAGGTGAGGTAAACTGACTACTAGGTGAGGTAAACTGACTACTAGGTTACAGTAGTAAGGAATTATTCATCAAGCCAAATCTATCAAAATGTTTTGTCTTCGTAACTGTTCTAAACCTAGTGTGCCTTTTTATGTTTTTTTTTTATTTTTTTTTTTTTTTTATTATCACACCGGCCGATTCCCACCAAGGCAGGGTGGCCCGAAAAAGAAAAACTTTCACCATCATTCACTCCATCACTGTCTTGCCAGAAGGGTGCTTTACACTACAGTTTTTAAACTGCAACATTAACACCCCTCCTTCAGAGTGCAGGCACTGTACTTCCCATCTCCAGGACTCAAGTCCGGCCTGCCGGTTTCCCTGAATCCCTTCATAAATGTTACTTTGCTCACACTCCAACAGCACGTCAAGTATTAAAAACCAATTTGTCTCCATTCACTCCTATCAAACACGCTCACGCATGCCTGCTGAAGTCCAAGCCCCTCGCACACAAAACCTCCTTTACCCCCCCTCCCTCCAACCCTTCCTAGGCCGACCCCTACCCCGCCTTCCTTCCACTACAGACTGATACACTCTTGAAGTCATTCTGTTTCGCTCCATTCTCTCTACATGTCCGAACCACCTCAACAACCCTTCCTCAGCCCTCTGGACAACAGTTTTGGTAATCCCGCACCTCCTCCTAACTTCCAAACTACGAATTCTCTGCATTATATTCACACCACACATTGCCCTCAGACAGACATCTCCACTGCCTCCAGCCTTCTCCTCGCTGGCAACATTCATCACCCACGCTTCACACCCATATAAGAGCGTTGGTAAAACTATACTCTCATACATTCCCCTCTTTGCCTCCCAAGGACAAAGTTTCTTTGTCTCCACAGACTCCTAAGTGCACCACTCACTCTTTTTCCCTCATCAATTCTATGATTCACCTCATCTTTCATAGACCCATCCGCTGACACGTCCACTCCCAAATATCTGAATACGTTCACCTCTCCATACTCTCTCCCTCCAATCTGATATTCAATCTTTCATCACCTAATCTTTTTGTTATCCTCATAACCTTACTCTTTCTGTATTCACCTTTAATTTTCTTCTTTTGCACACCCTACCAAATTCATCCACCAATCTCTGCAACTTCTCTTCAGAATCTCCCAAAGCACAGTGTCATCAGCAAAGAGCAGCTGTGACAACTCCCACTTTGTGTGTGATTCTTTATCTTTTAACTCCACGCCTCTTGCCAAGACCCTCGCATTTACTTCTCTTACAACCCCATCTATAAATATATTAAACAACCACGGTGACATCACACATCCTTGTCTAAGGCCTACTTTTACTGGGAAAAAATTCCCCTCTTCCTACATACTCTAACTTTGAGCCTCACTATCCTCGTAAAAACTCTTTACTGCTTTCAGTAACCTACCTCCTACACCATACACTTGCAACATCCGCCACATTGCCCCCCTATCCACCCTGTCCATACGCCTTTTCCAAATCCATAAATGCCACAAAGACCTCTTTAGCCTTATCTAAATACTGTTCACTAATATGTTTCACTGTAAACACCTGGTCCACACACCCCCTACTTTCCTAAAGCCTCCTTGTTCATTTTATGTTTATATATATATATATATATATATATATATATATATTATATATATATATATATATATATATATATATATATATATATATTATATATATATATATATATATATATATATATATATATATATATATAACTAGGCTTTTCATTTTCCCAGGCGTTCCATATCTGCAAGGGTCGCTTCATGTACAGCTTCCTGTGTCCCAACGCTACTCTCTTCAGTGCCAATTATCGTGTCTGTGATCATTACTACAACGTCCGCTGTGCCACCACCAACCCATCTAGCCCCTAGCCTAGAGATTCTAACTTGGACGATACCATCCTTTCGTCCTGGAGAAGAAAGGGAGCCATCGTCTAGTTATCTTCAAAATCATCCATGACATTGTTGCACATCCAAGAAAGGGACCTTGAATGGGTTGCCAGCATTTTTTCTTTCCTTATATTTCTTTTTTTTATTTCCTTCATAATATAAGACTTCGTTCAATCGATTTCAGATTTTCAACATTATTGTATGGTAAGCAGGGCAGGAAATCAGGCAACTATTGTCCTGTGCAGATGCCCTGTAACAAGTGTTATGTAACCCATTCCAAGATTTCTGAAGGGTCAGATGACTTACGAAAGCTTCTGCTGCTTCGCTTCATTCACATAAGGTACATCCTACTCTGACGACGGCGGAGAGTGACAGTAAAGTGTAGGTACACAATCACGAGTTTTATGTCTGAAATGGTGCGAGTTTTTCCCTTATATATAAGTTTAAATATAACTGATATCTCTTTCTAATGGTTTCAATCTGTAATGTCTGGTGTATCTTATGTATATATGGTACCTGATGATGTTAGTTTGTGCAGGTGAAAATTTTTCATTATAGTAACACAGAGAACTTGGAATTACTGGAGTTTATGCGACATCTGGAAAATGCCTCGTCTGCTCGATTTTAAACTTTTAGCGCTAGGGTGCTTTCCTGTACGCATGTTTCGCCTTATTATTGAGCTGCATAAGTCCCAATTTGTCAGTTTTATTAAATAAATTGTGATGCTGATTGTCATTCAATAAATAATGCCTCTTCTGACTGGTTTAAATCATCAACGTTAATGTATTGTATAAAATAAATTGGACCCAGTAAGTTTAGACTGTGTAAATTTGTAAATTTATTAATAATCAAGGAAAACTTGGAAATAATGAATAACTGAAGAATGATTCTTCTGGCTGGCTTCAAACTTTCAACAATGGCATTCCTTATTTAGAAGCAGATTAAATATTTTACTGGGTTTTGTTGGGAATTATGACGGACAGAGGGATATACAGCATCTGGCGGAGAGGAGGTATTCAGGATCGATCCAAGGAAGGGTAGGGCAGGTCCAGCTCTTAAGATCAAGAGCCTCTCACCGGCATCAAGGTCAATACAGCTGAGATAAGAGGAAAGTCTTACACGACAACCATCGAAATGGTTTAAATCGTAACATAATTTTTAAAGGGGTGGAGGGGTAAGCCAGTGGAAGGCCTCGGTCAGATAACCAAAAGCTCCAACTGTGGTTCATCATATGACTAAATCCCGCGTTAGGTAACACTTGTACTGTTTCCTGACAAACCTTACCTAACCTAACCTAACGACAACAATCAACTCCAGCTGACTTCACATGACAAGTAATTTGATTTGAAAAGAAATAGGATAAAAAAGACACTTACAAATTATAAAACAATAAACAGTATTGGTAGATATAGGTCAGCTGGCAATGTATTTGGGCAGGTACATATTTTTTCATAGTCTGCGGCTGAGCCTCGTCTGGAGGACCCCCAAGTATTATTATTATTACAATCAAGGGGGAAGCGCTAAACCCGGAGGATTATACAGCGCCTGGGGGGGTATGTGGAAGGCATTCAGGCTTAATTTGGGGAACTGGAGCACAGATCCAATTCCCTAAATCAAGAGCCCCTCACCAACATCAAGGAACCTTCCTTGAGGGGGGACCCCCAAGTAGATTGATATATCTACGTAACTGTGTTTAATTTGTCTCTGAGGGAAAACCCTCGCCTACTGACATTCTCCCCCTCGTCAACCAGGAATTAATCATCCCTGACGGCTTTATCCTGGCATGGTGTATCCCCCCTATAATGCTGTAATGTGCGGAGGACATTCCATCATACTCCGCTCTCAGTGATTTGGCCCAATACTTGGAGCTGCTCAACACGAGGTTGGTACTGGTTGTCACAATGATAGGTACTGGTGTCACAATGACGGCAGGTAGTGTCACAATGACGGGTACTGGTGTCACAATGATGGGTACTGATGTCACAGTGACGGCAACTAGTGTAACAATGATGGCTACTGGTGTTACAATGACGGAAGTTAATATCACAATGACGGGTACTGGTGTCACAATGACGGGTACTGGTGTCACAATGACGGGTACTGGTGTCACAATGACGGGTACTGGTGTCACAATGACGGATACTGGTGTCACAATGACGGATACTGGTGTCACAATGACGGATACTGGTGTCACAATGACGGATACTAGTGTCACAATGACGGATACTGGTGTCACAATGACGGGTACTGGTATCACAATGACGTTCACTAATGTCACAGTGACAGCAGCTAGTGTCATAATGACGGATACTGGTGTCACAATGACGGATACTGGTGTCACAATGACGGACACTGGTGTCACAATGACGGATAATGGTGTCACAATGAAAGATACTGGTGTCACAATGACGGATACTGGTGTCACAATGACGGATACTGGTGTCACAATGACGGATACTGGTGTCACAATGACCGATACTGGTGTCACAATGACCGATACTGGTGTCACAATGACGGATACAGGTGTCACAATGACGGATACTGGTGTCACAGTGACGGATAATGGTGTCACAATGACAGATACTGGTGTCACAATGACGGATACTGGTGTCACAATGACGGATACTGGTGTCACAATGACGGATATTGGTGTCACAATAACGGGTACTGGTGTCACAGCAACGTGAGCTAGTGTCACAGTTACGGCTACTGGTGTCACAATAACGGGCTACTGGAGTCACAATGAGGGCAGCTAGTGTCACAATGACGGTTACGGTGTCACAATGATGCATCACAGTGTCATGAGTACCCACGGTCACAATAGTGACTGGTAGCTGCCGTGTTACCATGAGTACTGTAGTGCCCGTGGTGTCCATGAGGATATTGTAATGCCGGCTGTTGTCCATGCTATACTGTACTGCCGTGGTTGTCCAGATAGTAACTGTAGCTGCCGTGGCGGTCAGTAGTGACTGTACTGCGGTTGGTGTCCAATGAGATACTGGTACATGCCGCGTTTGTCACAAGTAGTGACTGTCCCGGGTGGTGTCCAATAGTACTGTAACGCTACCGTGGTTGTCCAGTAGTAACTGTACTAACGTAGTATGTCAGTAGTGCACTGTACTACCTGTTGTCCAGTGAGTGTACTAGTAGCTACGTGGCTATGTCCAGTAGTGACTGTAGCTCCGTGGTTGTCCAGTAGTAACTGTAGCTCCGTGGTTGTCCAGTAGTGACTGTAGCTACCGTGGTTGTCCAGTAGTGACGTAGCTACCGTGGTTGTCCAGTAGTGACTGTAGCTACCGTGGTTGTCCAGTAGTAACTGTAGCTACCGTGGTTGTCCAGTAGTGACTGTAGCTACCGTGGTTGTCCAGTAGTGACGGTAGCTACCGTGGTTGTCCAGTAGTGACTGTAGCTACCGTGGTTGTCCAGTAGTGACCGTAGCTGAAGTGGTTGTTCAGTAGTAACTGTAGCTACCGTGGTTGTCCAGTAGTGACTGTAGCTACCGTGGTTGTTCAGTAGTGACTGTAGCTACCGTGGTTGTCCAGTAGTGACTGTAGCTACCGTGGTTGTCCAGTAGTGACTGTAGCTACCGTGGTTGTCCAGTAGTGACTGTAGCTACCGTGGTTGTCCAGTAGTGACCGTAGCTACCGTGGTTGTTCAGTAGTAACTGTAGCTACCGTGGTTGTCCAGTAGTGACTGTAGCTACCGTGGTTGTCCAGTAGTGACTGCAGCTACCGTGGTTGTTCAGTAGTAACTGTACCTACCGTGGTTGTCCAGTAGTGACTGTAGCTACAGTGGTTGTCCAGTAGTGACTGTAGCTACCGTGGTTGTTCAGTAGTAACTGTAGCTACCGTGGTTCTCCAGTAGTAACTGTAGCTGCCGTGGTTGTACTGTAGTAGCTGTAGCTAGCGTGGTTGTCCAGTAGTGACTGTAGCTGCCGTGGTTGTTCAGTAGTAACTGTAGCTACCATGGTTGTCCAGTAGTGACCGTAGCTACCGTGGTTGTTCAGTAGTAACTGTAGCTACCGTGGTTGTCCAGTAGTGACTGTAGCTACCGTGGTTGTCCAGTAGTGACTGCAGCTACCGTGGTTGTTCAGTAGTAACTGTAGCTACCGTGGTTGTCCAGTAGTGACCGTAGCTACTGTCCGTGGTGTAGTCCTGTGTATAGTAACTGTAGCTAGCCTGGTTCTCAGTAGTAACTGTAGCTCCGTGGTTGTAGTCACTACGTTCAGTGACTGTAGCTGCCGTGGTTGTTCAGTAGTGACTAGCTGCAGTGGTTGTCCAGTAGTGACTGTAGCTGCCGTGGTTGTCCAGTAGTAACTGTAGCTACCGTGGTTGTCCAGTAGTGACTGTAGCTGCCGTGGTTGTCCAGTAGTACTACTACTGTTGTAGTAGTACGTAGCTACTGGTTTCCAGTAGTGACCGTAGCTACCGTGGTTGTCCAGTAGTGACTGTAGCTGCCATGGTTGTCCAGTAGTAACTTAGCTGCGTGGTTGTCCAGCAGTGACTGTAGCTCCCGTGGTTGTCCAGTAGTGACTGTAGCTGCCGTGGTTGTCCAGTAGTGACTGTAGCTGCCGTGGTTGTCCAGTAGCAACTGTAGCTACCGTGGTTGTCCAGTAGTAACTGTAGCTGCCGTGGTTGTCCAGTAGTAACTGTAGCTACCGTGGTTGTCCAGTAGTGACTGTAGCTGCCGTGGTTGTCCAGTAGTGACCGTAGCTGCCGTGGTTGTCCAGTAGTGACTAGTGCTACGTGGTTGTCCAGCTAGTGACTGTAGCTGCCGTGGTTGTCCAGTAGTGACTGTAGCTACCGTGGTTGTCCATAGTGACTGTAGCTCCGTGGTTGTCCAGTAGTCAACTGTAGCTACCGTGGTTGTCCAGTAGTAATGTAGCTACCGTGGTTTCAGTAGTAACTGTAGCTACCATGGTTGTCCAGTAGTGACTGTAGCTACCGTGGTTGTCCAATAGTGACTGTAGCTACCGTGGTTGTCCAGTAGTGACTGTAACTACCGTGGTTGTTCAGTAGTACTGTAGCTGACCGTGGTTTGTCCAGTAGTAACTGTAGCTACCGTGGTTGTCATAGTACTGTAGCTACCGTGGTTGTCCAGTAGTGACTGTAGCTACCGTGGTTGTCCAGTAGTGAATGTAGCTACCGTGGTTGTTCAGTAGTAACTGTAGCTACCGTGGTTGTCCAGTAGTAACTGTAGCTGCCGTGGTTGTCCAGTAGTAACTGTAGCTACCGTGGTTGTCCAGTAGTGACTGTAGCTGCCGTGGTTGTTCAGTAGTACTTAGCTACGTGTCCATAGTGACGTGCTCGTGTGTTCCAGTAGTAACTGTAGCTACCGTGGTTGTCCAGTAGTGACTGTAGCTACCGTGGTTGTCCAGTAGTGACTGCAGCTACCGTGGTTGTTCAGTAGTAACTGTAGCTACCGTGGTTGTCCAGTAGTAACTGTAGCTGCCGTGGTTGTCCAGTAGTAACTGTAGCTACCGTGGTTGTCCAGTAGTGACTGTAGCTGCCGTGGTTGTCCAGTAGTGACTAGCTGCAGTGGTTGTCCAGTAGTGACTGTAGCTGCCGTGGTTGTCCAGTAGTGACTGTAGCTACCCTGGTTGTCCAGTAGTGACTGTACCTGCCATGGTTGTCCAGTAGTAACTGTAGCTACCGTGGTTGTCCAGTAGTAACTGTAGCTGCCGTGGTTGTCCAGTAGTGACTGTAGCTGCCGTGGTTGTCCAGTAGTGACTGTAGCTGCCGTGGTTGTCCAGCAGT